ATTCTGAAACTTATGAAGATGTTCTAGAAACTTTGTATCTTGAAGAAGGAACACTAAATAAAAGAAAAATTCAACATAGGTAATGCTACTTTACCTATTAAGTCTCATAAAAATTCAACCATATATTAACAAAAGTCTACATATTGTTTAATTTTCAAGATATTTTTGTCCATCCACCAAGAGTACATTTACATACTGACACTGCATGCTATTAAAATTCCCTGAATTTTAAAAGGTAACACCAAAAGGATCTCATACTCAAAAATATCTCTGCTACATATTCTACACATAAGTAAATCAATGTGGTTATGTAACTGATTTCTACTGGAAGAGAAATGAGGCTGAACCTATCATACACATTTTAAATCATACCAAGATAATATGACAAAAGGGTAGTTTTTAAATTGTTCAGATAAAGGGTAATTTCTTACCAGGAAACGCTTCAAGGTAGGGCAAAAAGAAGTGCAATTGGAGTCCTTGGATCAATAATGAAAATTATGAGATCATTAAGGAGAAGAAAGGGTAGGTAGCAAGTGCACAAATGGCACAATTTTAAAGAGTAAGGGGCTCAGAATTTAGCCTGTGCTGGCAAATTTGTCAAAGCTCTTGATAATGCCTAGTTTCAACGAAAAGTCAATCACTAAATGACTGTTAGGAGTTAGAACTACTTTCCTAGAAGAAGATAAACTTGATCAAATCCTAATCAGTTAAGTTACCTCAATCTAGGGAAATTGAGTCTCCCTAATTCAACCTGACTTTCAACAATGTGGTTCACTCCATTCTGTGGCGGTAAAAGACAAAAGTCACAGGGAAGGATGTAAATATCAAATCTCAAATCTCTACTCTCCGCTGACCTCTTTATTCTTCGCTCTAAGTATTTTTAAGATTCCTCTGTTTGTGGGAACAAACAAAACTCAACACATAAACACAAACCTTTCTGTATACCCTGACATTCAAAAAGCAAAATCACACCTAGCACCATTAAAATTTCCTTTTTAAAGCAAGGTATAAAGTAACATAGAACATGAACCTGTTTTTGTAAAAATATATGATATAGTTATGTATATCAAAACAATTTCAAGTATAAATACCAGATATATATTCAAAATGATTGAGGGGCAGCTTTAAGTGTCTTCCTTAACACCAAGGTGCATTTTCTAGTAACTTTTCAACAAAGAATGTGTATTCTAATAGTTTTTATTAAATAATTTTAAATCTTTGCACAATTTTAGTATTTTTTTAATGAAACTGACCAGTATTATCCCTTTATACATTTTTCATGCGATTTTCAATTAATTTTGGGAGTACTGTTTGGGCAGCAGGGGCGGGAGTTACTAATGACATCTCTCCTATTATTCAAAAGAAAATATTTCAGATAAAATTTTCAGGTAAATTCCTAATTTCGATTCTTCTGAACAAATCCATGTTAATGATTTTGCTCTTAATCTAAACCTTGGACAATAGGATTTTACTCACAAAAAGCATTAACTTTCTGCTCTTTAACAAAAGAAAAATGTAAATACAAACATGTCGGTCTTTAGATTCACTTCAGGAAGTAACCAATATAAATTTATTTCATCTACAAAATCATTAAACTAACCCATATTATAATAAAATTCCATTTGTAAAAATGTAGACTCCAGACTAGTCAATACAGTAAATTTTTTTCTAAGTGCTTCCAAGATTAGGCATCAATATTCATATTAAAAAATAAAAGGAAACATCGGTCTTACATATAACTCCAAAAAATCCTTAGTAATTATTAACTCCTTTTTTCAAGCAGGAAATAAAATCAATCTGGTGATATCAGCAAATTATAGTTAGGACTTTTTATCATCACATTTTAGAAAACACATCTTTGACTTTTTCTAAAGAGTGAAGTAAAACAAAATTATCGAAACTTTTACTAAAGAAGAGTTTTAAACTTCTAATGTTAACTGCACTAGTAACCTGGAAAACTACTTAAAACCATGCTCTACCTGAAGATTTTGAGTATTAAAACAGGAAATATCAGCATCTAACCACTCCTAACATCAATAATATATAGGAAGGATGACATTTCTTAGCTATTTAAAACTGCAGGTTATCAAATAACATCCTTTGTTCAAGAGGTTTCGTTTTAACATTGATAAGAAAAAAACAATTCTGAGTGTACAAATCAACATTGTTGAAGATTATTGGAAAACCTAGTCTCCTTATGCATCATGGCTTAAAATCAAAGTTTCCACAAACCTATCAATGACATTAAGTGAAGACATAGTGTACAATTGTTTTCAGGACAATAAAGTCCTTTTCCTTCCTTTGCTCGATTTTCACACTAAATAGAACCTACATTTAGAATATTCTTAGTCACCCTAACTTTTTGCATATTCTGAGGTATAAAACCCAAAGTTTAAGTAAGAACATATAGCAAAGAACCTTTCCATTTTTTTCATACATTAAACAGATTTTTTGCTTCGCAGGCAAAAATTACAATTCCACAAAATAAAATGTGTATTAGATTCATTAACTTGAGCTAGTGGTTAGGGCATGATGCTATAAAAAGGCTAAATTGATCACCTGATCACAGATCCCACAAATTAACTTTCATCTACTGCAGGGTCACATGCAGCATCAAAACCCCTGCTGGTCAGTTCTGTGGTCACAAGGAGAAATCTGTCAGAAAGCTGGGTCAGCACAAATCTACTTTCCTCATGTTCTATTTATCAACTTTACAGTGAATAATGTTACCAGTTGTCAACTGGGGAAAGAACACCAATGAGATGTGCGTGTGTGTGGACAGACACACACACACACACGCCCATTAAACTCTAAAACAGAAAATCTGATAGGTAAAAGTGTAAAAATCGATTTTAGAAGCTAAATGGAAGAAATATTTTAAAATCAAAAAATAGCTAAGTCCATTGACCAGTACTTATACTGTGAATTTTAAAATGCTTAACACACTAAATTCTGAATCCCAATCTAAGACATATAAATAACAGCAACATTCTTCTCTTTTAAACTGGAAGATATATTTTTAAAAAGTATTACAAAAATGATCATCACTGGCCACTTTAACTTCTCAGCTTTATTAATCCATGTACTTTTACCTCTATGTAACAGTAAGAAGGTAGGAACTATATACACCTCCAAATTACAATAAAATTCTCTTCAAAAAAAAGGCAAACTTGTTTTTCGTTTTTTTAATTTACTGGTAATAACTCAAGCCCAATCACCCTTCTAACCTCAATTTCTCTTTTAATTTATAACCCTTTCTCATAATATGCTGCAGGAGGCAATGGAATTACCACTTTAGTTCTTTAGGTTTGCTTCTACCAGAAACTGAATTTCCTAAAGATAGCACACCTGCTGTCACTTCTTCCCATCTGCAGTCCATTACAGAACCGACTGACAAACCGTATGACACTCATTTGCTTACAGATGAGCCTCTCCTACTAACTACACTATGAAATTCTATAACCAGCAGGTGTGTATCAATCCGTGACATAGCGCTGGCTATAGAAGATTTTCAACTACAGTGAAAAACCGAGCAATCTTTTCTACTTCACTATTACCAAAGCACCCTACAAATATGGACAACGGTATCCTTCATAGGAATCTCTGACCCAAGACACATTCTTTGCCGACTAGCTACTTTCTACTGCCTCTTTGGAGGGAAACAGCTTGGATGATGTCTGCTTCATTCTCCAATACAAATGTTCTCTACAAGATTATTATCTAGACTACAAGAGTGTAGTATATGTCCTATGAAATAAAATCTCACAATACAATCTTTCAATCCTTGATTAACCATGTGGACCTGGCAAAATTTACGAACCTATAAATTTTTAACACTTTTTTTTTGTCCAGTTTACACTGACTTGAGAATGCTTCCCGATACAGCTGATGTGAAGGATGCCTGGAGAGATGGGGGTGGGAGCAAGAAAAGAGACACCACACCGAAGACACAATTTAACACACTTCTTCCATTTCTACCTTTATCCCAAGAGAATTTCAACGAGCAGGGGGGGAAATGGTGGTAAAATCTGAGATTCAGAACAAAAGATGCTGAACTGGCAGCCTGTGCGTTTTAACCTATCCTTTCCACTAATTTTTAAAGGAGGATTTTTTTTTTCTTTTTCTATTTTGCTTCATCCAGGAGCAGCTGGATCTCCTCTCACCCAGTGTCCCTCTTCTCCATGCACATACACACGGCGGTGCCGCTATGGGTGACAAACCAACCACCAAGGGAAAAATTAAAACACGCGGTTTATGTCCCAATTCTCTCTGGAAAAGTCTCAATTCTTTATCCCACAAGAAAATTATCTATTTTCAAGGGATGGAGAGGAGGAGAGAGCAGGGGAATCAGATCATTATCATGCTGCTTCTCATTCTCCACAGGGAGGAAAAAAATGGCAGTAACTTCCAACACGAGACAACTGCTCTTCTCTTTCGCCGTCAGAACCTAAAAAACAACTAAGCGACCAACCAACCGGCCTTTTGGGGCATTCACACGAATAGAAAACTAAGGTCCTTTACTTGGCAGCAACACAGCCCCTTAAAAATAATCCTCCAAAGCTTGGGGGAGGTGGTTGCTCCCTCAACCCCCCCCCCAGACACACACCCCTGCCCTGGGGGTGGGGGCGCGGAGGGGGAGCAGGATTCTGTCAAATGCAAAATGCTCCCCCCGTCCTCCTCCGCCATCCCGAATACTGACCCGCACCGAGCGAGGCGGCGACGGAGCGCAGGGGCAGCGAGGAGGCGGGGACGCCACACACGGCGCACTTAGGGCTGATTCCTGCTTTTTAAACATGTTTTAAAGCTACAAATTCCTCCAAACGGAGCAGTCTCACCCGTACACCACCAGCACCAGCTCTCCCGGGCGACCCTCACCGCGCCGCGGCCTCGGCCCCGCGCGCCCCGCGCCCCCCGCGCCCGGCCCCCGGCCCCCGGCCCGGCCCCCGCGCGCCCCTCCCCGCGGCGGGCCCGGCGCGCCCAGGTCGGGGAACGCGGCGCACCTGGATGTAGTTGTTCTCGCAGTAGTCGGCCACCCGCTCCAGGTTCGTGTAACTGTCGAAGAGGGCCCGGCGGCCCCCCGGGATTTCCTCCTCCAGCAGCATCTGCAGCTCCGCCATCTTCACATCCTCCTCCTCAGACAGACCGCAGAGGAGCGGCGGCCGCGGCGCCAGGGAAACCCGAGGCCGGGCGAGGAGGAGCGCCCGCGGCGGCGACGCCGGAGGAGCGAGAAACGCGGCCCCCCCCGCGCGCGCCAGGGGAGGGGGCAGCAGGAACGGGGGCGGGGCGCGAGCCGGCGGACTCCGAGGACGGTCACCGCGGCGACGGCCGGCCGGGCGCGCGCACGCGCACGCGCGCTCCCTCCCTCCGCCCCCGGGCGCCCGAAAAAGATTCCCACCCACAGCCGCGCCGCCCGCCCCTCCTCCACTTCCGGCGTCTCCTAGCGACGCCGATAGTGGGGGCCGGGATGCGCGCGGGAGTCCGGCGCGCGGTTAACCCTTTGGGCCCCGCGGGCTGCGCGGCTCCGAAGTCCCCCCGCCCCCCACGCCTGTCCCCCGGCGGCCTTTGTTCGTCCGGCGTGAACGCGACACCCGGCTCCGCGGTCTTCCCGCCCGCGCCTCCCGCCCGAGGCGCGAGCCCGTGGGGTTCACCGGCCGGAGAGATACTACCAAGCCACAGAACTTCCATGCAGCTTTATGTGCTGCCTCACTTTTCGTTTTTTCTCCTCTTTGACCACAGCCATCCTCTTTGATGATGGTCCGTGAATTTGTTTCCTAGTCCCAGTTTCCGGTACTCGACTTTTTTCTCACTAATTTGCCCACTAACATTGTTTTCTGTTCTGTAGTCTGTTCTCATTTGTATCCCCTGGAACTCGGTTTTTATGCTTGTCCTCACTCTCATTGACTTCCTCGACGACAGCCTTTTCTGTCAGTTTTCTGGTTCTGTCAGTTTCGTTGCCTTTTTTTCGTGGATTCATTAAAGTCTCGGGAAAAAAAACGGTTTTGCCGGTCCTGTACTAATTTAATTCCTTAGAGGGTTGTTACAGGGATAAAATAAAAGTTTTTGTGACAGCAGCTTGGAAAAATCTTTACTACACAAATTCAAGATAGATCATTTGGTCTTGCAGTTATTATTCTGCTGATATTCCCCCAAATGCTCTTTTTTCATAAACCAGACTACTTCACATATGTGGTCATAAAAAAGCTGTAAGGCCGGACAACAGTTGAGCTATAAAAGTCCGTGGCCTTCATTTGTACTGTGGAAAGTCAAAACTGACAATGTTGCAGTTTAGAACATGATTCACTATTTTAACTTCGACTCTTGTTCTTGCCCTTCAACGGGTTTCCCCCCCCCTCAGATTATGAACGAATTATATGATACTTTCTCAAAGAATTATTTTAATACCATACCATTACAAACTGGAGCAATCGCTGAGATTATTATAATGGCTTAATGAGACATACAGCAGCGAATTGAGGTTTCACTGTGAAATCCAAATGAAACTATTGAAAAGTTGTTCCCACCAATTAGTTTTCTTCTTGACTGCTTTCAATATCTTTCAACCTTAAGTGTGCAGTTTGTGAAAAATGAAAGGTCACACGCAAGTGTCCTTAGAGAGCAGTAGTGATTGAATCAAGTAGTTACCTAAATAATATATAAACTTGCTTCAAGGAATAAGACATGTACAGTCAAGTGAATAAAACATTAGCTCAAGTTTAGACTAAATTTCAATGGATCAAAAAGTTACATTTGATTCTAGTAGTTCAGGGGATTAGTTAAATGGTAAGCAGGCTCCTTCCCACATACACTTATTCCCACCAACATACTTTTTGTTTTTGTTTTAATTTTTTTTTCATAGAGGCATGTTTTTATTTATTTATTTGTTTGTTTTGTTTATACATGCACTGGGTACAGTCGCCGGGGAGCAGCCGGGGAGCAGCCGGGGAGCAGCCGGGGATCGAACCGGCGCCGCAGAGGCCGCCGGGCAGCTTCGCAACCCAGCGCTCAACCGCTGCGCCACCGGGGAGGCCCCACCAACATACTTTTAAATACTGCTTAGCAATTTGCCCAATAAACAAATCTCCCTGGGGGATGTCTTCATCCTAGGAATGGTTGTGTGAAAATTTCAGTACTTTTTTTATAGGTCAACTCCTTGGATATTCATTTACTTATCTGAAAAATCAAAGGGTTAAACTCAGGTCAGTTGTTCTCAAACTCCAATGTGGATTGAAAACACTTGGAGGGCTTGTAAAACACAGATGGCTGCATCCCCCCCCCCCCCCCCCCCCCCCCCCGTTTCTGATTCAGTTGATTTGACCCAATTTATAGTTCTAACAAGTTCCCACATGATGCCAATGAAACTGCCCTTCTGGTTCTGAAGGCTATAATTCCAATTTCTGGCAGCTGGAAATCTCCACTAAGAGGTGCTTCTAAGCACCCAAGGACTTAGATGCACACTCGTGCTGCCACCAAAATTATTTAAGCAAAAAGGAAGTTAAGTGCAAGATCTATAAACATGTAGGTATCATGTATATGATTGCAATTATATATATAATATGCATATTATTTGGAAGGGGGGGTCTGTGGTTTTGCTCACTTTAATTTTTCTATAATGAACATGGATATTTTTCTTCTAGTCTAGTAAGACTATTGTAGGGTAAGGTAAAAGGTGTCAGGCTTTTCTGCCCTCGCGCCATTAGGATAGATGCCAGAACCCTGTGCTCCCAAATGCATGCCTGATGGCGGGCACCTGGAGTAGGGTGTGGGTATAGGTAGATGGGATTCACCTGGGCTAAGACTGGGTTTTTAAGGGCAGCGTCACGGGGACGCCAGCAGAAACCTAAAGAAGAGAAGCAGTAGAAGCAGAGCCATGAAAAGAGCAGAGAGTAATGTGAGAGAAGGCAGGAGAGCCCAGAGTGAAGACTTGCTGAGGGCTGAGAGGCCTGCCAGCCTCCGGGGCCCCCAGCACCCTTGCCTGACATATGCCTGGTAAATCTAAATAAAGGACCTGCAAAAGCCACTGAGGACTCTGACTCCTCCTTTACCCAGTCTGCTGGATCAGAAAACCTGTCCTGTGTCATTCCTGCCCCTACAACTATGAACTCCCAAAATCAGAGAGAATGCTTTAGTAATGCAGCCCAAGATGACTGTTTTTTTTAGCAATTTATCATCAGCTTGATTCAAAATAAGCATTAGGAGCTCCCACATATTTTACATACTAACCTAATATTGCCAAGTGCAATTGATATTTTTTAAATCTAGTTATAGTTATTGGTATTTATTTCCAGTAATTTAAACCTTAGCTTTTTTCCAAATTTGAACCCTTATTACCATCTCTTGAAATAATCTTGTTTCACAATACCTATAGATTTGATAAACAAGACTTTTGGATTCATCATAGCCTTTAATAAGAATGGTGAACAAGGCAAGGCCAGATGAGAGCCCAATAGCTTGCTCTTTAAGTCTCACTTGTTCAAAGTCACCATTAATAAACCTTAAATTTGTCCAGTTGTGAATATACCTTAAAAGACTCACACTTACCCAACATTTTATTATTGTAGTCACAAGTGAGAAAGTGTCAAATTTCTCTTCTAAAATAAAGATGCACTATGTCTGTGAAATTCCCCTGATATACATCATCCCACTAATGCTATCCCTAAATAAGGAAATTAAGATAAAGTACATGATGCAATGCTTGATAGTATGGGCTTTAAAGAAATAAATGTTGCCTAACTGAATTGTTTATATTGCTAATCTTTCAACATCTAGAAGACATACCCTTTCATCCAGTCTTCCCCATCACATGCTTCCTGATCCCAATGATATGCTAATTAATTATAGACATTGCTTTCATATTTAACTCTTTATCCCAAATTTTCAGTCTCCCATCTATTTAAAATTATTGAAAGAACACAATCTTCCAAATTAAATTTTTTCCAAATTAGTTTGTAAATGAAAAATCTATTCCATTTTCAAGAAGTCAGTATATAGTGCATGATTTTTATATTTCTGAAAATCACTTTTTCTTTATTTATTACAAACATACAGCATGGAGGATTGTATAAGGAATACATACATACAGCATGGAGAATTGTATAAGGAATACATAAATATTCATTAATTTGATGTAACAATAATTTCTATTTTACCTTACCCTCTCCCTCTCATATTATTCTTACACTAAGAACTTTAAAGAAAATTAGGGTAATCATGATACTTAATCCTTAATTACATTAGTATCTCTAAAAAAGGACATTTTGCTGCATAATCTCAATATTGTTATAACACCCAAAATATCAACAATAATTCTCTCCCAATATGCAATCCAATAAAAAGCATTTTTCAAGTAGAAATTACTTGCATGAAGAGGGGAAATATCATAAACCTAATACACGACCTGGAGGAATTATATCTAAATACTTGATAATCTATGCGTTTCCTGTGAGAGGAAACAAAATAACTTCCTTATGAAAGAGAAAAAAAAATTTCCCATTAGACCATTACAGGTAACAACACGAACCTGGAATTACTGACAATAATGTAGTATACAGGCATAGTAATGGGGTAGACAGTCTATGCTGAAAGGCATATGTTTTCAGAGAATAAAAAATTTTCAATTCTTCAGTTCTTACTAAAACTGGCTTTTACATATATCTCCCCCCCAAAAATGGTGAACTTCATCGCTGAAACATGAACCAGATAATCCTTTTCTCACAGTAGGCAGATTACCACTCAGTTCACAAAAATTCCATTTCCAAATTACTTTTGTTCATACTTTTACATTATGTTAAATATTTTATAAAACTTCAAGCATAAGACTATATAACTGGATGTTTATTACTAAAAAAAATACTAACCATACTTAATTACATGACTAAGAGTTTGAAATGTACAGGTTTTTCTGACTATGCATTAACACCATTAGAATCTGTGTGTTGAATATTAGCTGACCTATATAATATGTTTGCTTCCTAAAGCTTGCTAACTTTTTTTTATAACAATCTGTTTCTTGGGCCTCCCCTGGTGGCGCAGCGGTTGAACGCTGGGCTGCGAAGCTGCTGCACACAGCCTCAGCAGCACCAGTTCGATCCCCGGCTGCCGGGCGAGGGTCCCACATGGCACGCAGACCTCTCCTGCCGCCCGCTGCTCCCCTCAGCAGTGTACTTCGTCACTCTGCTCTCTGCTCTCTGCTCTGGCTCTGGTGAATTCTCTCACCCTCCCGCGCTTC